GTGGATCCTTCCTTCTCGTGCCTTTCCCTCCGTTGGATTCATCGTGCGGTCATAAATTCATTAATTAATTTATGATGCATCGATACTCGCAAAATCTGAAAATTTTCAAATTCTCGCTCTTAACGTCTCTCTCTCTCCTTCTTCTTCGTTCTTTGCCCGAACAAATTAGGGTTTCACTGACGTCTTCTTTTCTCCCTTTTTTCTACTTTTGGGGATTCTAATTGTTGATTTTCACGGCGAAGGATGAAGCATTTTATGTTACCAAGAAACCCTATCTTGCGAGACGGTAGAGAGCCTCACTCGCCGAACCCTAGTATCTCGAAATCGAAGCCTCCACGCAAAATAAGATCGGCCAAAGAAAATGCTCCACCGTCTTCGGATCAGAACTCGTTAACCTCCGATCATAGGTCGAGTCCGGCGACGAAATTGAAGAGCCTGTTGCCTCCGCGACCGCCGTCGTCTAATCCTCTTAAACGGAAGCTCATTGCGGAGGCTACGTCGGAAAAAGTCGTGACTGGATTTTCAGATTCTGGTGTCAAGGTAATTTGACCCACCCTTTGAAGGGTTTTTATTTCCTTGCTTAGAAATTAGGCATCGTCGAGGAAAATCTCTGATTAGGTGATGTATCAATTGAAGAAGAATGTGTGTACTTGCTAGAGTTAGGTTTGGTTTCTAATAGAAGAGATGGAGGAAATTTGGTGAATATGATTAAATTGAGACGAATTTCAGGTTATAGTTAGAATGAAGCCTCCAGATAAAGGGGAGGAAGGCGATACGATTGTACAAAAGCTCTCTAAAGATTCCCTCACAATTGGTGGGCATACTTTCACATTCGACTCGGTTGCTGATCCAGAGTCGACACAGGCAAGATAATCTAGTTTCATGATTCTTGGTGTTGTTATGCGATGTTTATCTGTGTGGTTTCTGAGCCCTAATTATTTCTTTTGTGGTTTTTATTCTTTTATCAGGAACAAATGTTTCAGCTTGTGGGAGTCCCTCTTGTTGAAAATTGTCTATCTGGATTTAACAGTTCTGTATTTGCTTATGGACAGGTAGTTTTTATTATCCAAAGACGTATACTGTAATTGTGAATGTAAGTTCTTAATTCAGCCGATCATGAAATTGTTTTATCAGACTGGTAGCGGGAAGACATTTACAATGTGGGGTCCTGCAAATGGAATGTTGGAAGAGCACCTCAGAGGTGAACAAAGAGGTTTAACCCCACGCGTTTTTGAACGTCTGTTTGCCCGAATCAAAGAGGTGATGCCTGGTTTTGTTCAATTTGCGGTTTTGAACTTGTGCAAAGATGAGCACATTCAGAAGTAGATTCCTTTTGTTTCTTTTTGGTTTGCAGGAAAAAGTGAAGCATGCTGAAAGGCAACTCAATTACCAATGCCGCTGCTCATTACTCGAGGTTCAGTGAACGGGATGCATTACTTAAGTTAGGATGGTGTTTGAAGGTTTCATTTCGTAGAGTTTGATAAATAATGTTATTTCATTTTTCTGGTGCAGATTTACAATGAGCAGATAACAGATCTACTGGATCCGAGCCAGAAAAACCTGACGGTAAAAGGAACTTTCAAATTCAACTTGATTTACATTCTTAAGAAAAAAAACGGGGTTCATCTTTTCTTATTAATGTGTCACCAGATTAGAGAAGATGTCAAGTCAGGTGTTTATGTTGAAAATCTGACTGAGGAATACGTGAAAAACTTGACAGACGTGTCACAGCTTCTGATTAAGGTTTGTTATACATTTTCGTTTCTCTCTGCACACGAATTTCTGTTACTTGATAATAATTTCTGCTCTTAAAGTACACAAGAATACCAGTTTCCAGGTGTCATATCTTTGCACTTCTCTTAAAATTTAAAGAAGCAATGTGAAATCTTTTTTTTGTTAGAAAGAGGAGATGGCCACAGATCATATAGAACGCTGCTATTGGGTTTTAATGTTTATGTGCTGTTAGTGATGCTGTGTATATCAAATATCACATAAGGCATACCTTTTAAGAAAATAGTTAAGAGAAATTACTCTTTATTTGGCAAAATATATTAAATGTTCAAGATAGTTTAATATGCCCTGACAAAATTATTTTTGATAGTTATACTTGTGTATGAAACTAGTGTAGGGTTTGGGAAATAGAAGAACTGGTGCAACGAGTGTTAATGCAGAGAGTTCAAGGTCACATTGCGTATTTACGTGTGTTGCTGAATCTCGATGCAAGGTAGGCTGTTATTCGACATTAAATTGTTCATATTACTGGCTTTATAATAGGAAGCTGTGAAGCTAAGATGCTACCATTTTATCTTTTTAACTTTGTTTGAATGTACTTCAACAGAATGTTGCAGATGGGTTAAGCAGCTTTAAGACAAGCAGAATTAACCTTGTTGATCTGGCTGGTTCTGAACGACAAAAATCAACTGGTGCGTCAGGAGAACGCCTGAAGGAAGCTGGGAATATCAATCGATCGCTATCTCAGCTTGGGTATAAATTAGAGTAGTCTCCATATAAATTATATTATTACCTTTGATGATAAAGAACCAACACTTAGGGATAATGGAACCCTATTTGGAAACGGTAGTAGCTTAGCTTCTGCTGTTCTGGCGTCTTCTAGTTTTTGATACTGCATCAGGCACTAGCAATCTAGCTATTGATTAGTAACTGACACTTTGGGATAATGGAAATAATTGGAAAACTGATGATAGTAGCGTAGCTTCTAAGGTTCTTGTGTCTTTTAATTAGTGCTCTTCATTCACTAAATAATATAACAATTAATCCTCCATGAAAGGGCAACAACACTGCAGGATAAGCAAGCTGCTTGTCTTATCAAAGTGGAAATATTATAATACTTTGGGCTTCCCTGAACTTCATCTTTATTTTAAGTTTGATGTCTTCAAACCCCAGAAATGATTCACCAGTCTTGTCATTTGCTGGGCGTTTTGCAGAAGCTGAAACTCAACTACATGTTTACCATACAAACTTTTTACGTGCAGGAACCTAATAAACATCCTCGCAGAGGTTTCTCAAACAGGGAAGCCAAGGCATATACCTTATAGGGATTCCAGGTTAACATTTTTATTGCAAGAGTCTCTTGGTGGGAATGCAAAGTTAGCAATGGTTTGTGCAATTTCTCCTTCACAAAGGTAGGACCCCCTATTCCCGCTTTAACAATTATTTTATCCTCCATCTTCTGCAATATGAAGTATGTACGAAAAATTGCTGTCGCAGGAGCGAAACCGCCGGCACCTTGAGATTCGCTCAGCGTGCAAAGGCAATACAGAATAAGGCTGTTGTCAATGAAGTGATGCAGGATGATGTAAATTTCTTGCGTGGAGTCATACGCCAGCTGAGGGTACGCATTCTTTTATATATTTCA